GTGTGTAAGATACTTAGAAGACCTATTTGTAGTCCCCAGGACAAGCGCTCCTAAAGAATACGCTTAAGGAACGAAAAATACATCTTTCAACTTCTCTACTGTTTTGACGACGCTCACCGACTCTTCAAAACTGTGCTAACATGTTTTAGCGATGAATAGGCCTTAGATATTCTGAAGTTCAGTCACCTTGTTTGTTCGCATAATTCTGGTTTGAAACCTCTCTTTCTTGTCAGAAGTAAATGAAACGCATTTAGTCTCTCTGTTTTATATGGTTCGACACCGCTGGAGGGCAAAACAAGCTTCCCACATTAAACCACTGGTACCTCAGTCCTTAATATAGAGTGTGGAAGTATTCATGCAGCTTTTGCTATCATGCGTTGCTAGTTGAATATCTACATTCTATAAGTACATCCGTGTGTATGTCTCAACATAATTGAAGTAATCTATTCTTAGTTGTCATAAAATACCAAATTCAAGCATTACCTTTCTGTTAAAGACACCAATTGCCAGCTCAAAGCACAATATACGGTGAACAGCAAGTAGTGTACAGTGACACTACAAGGGCGTGTAACCCATGTGAACACAAAAAAATGAGATAAAAAACGTTTTAGACCGAGAGACAGAAATTCGCTCAAACTTCCAGCGCAAAGCCCTGTGACGCCGTTTGTTAATTGTGATGCGACCAGCGAAGGAGAACCAGCGCCCACTTCTGATAAGGTTGAGAAAGCTGCTATGACTGACGATTTGAGAAGTTTTAATATTTACACACGTCACACAACCCCCCCCCCCCCCCCCCCCCCCCCACCCCCTACACCCACGACACCCCCACTCACAACAACAAAAAAACGCCGGCCCAAAGCCCAACATATGAGTGGGGATAATAATTTTACTCTCTCACAAAAAAAGGTCCCCCGGTACAGCGGGCCGACATACATTTTTTTGAACGAAAAAAACACAATGTAACACAAACCACAAACTTAAAGCCCTGTGACGCCGTTTGTTAATTTTGATGCGCACAACGAAAGAGAACCAGCGCCCCCTTCTGATAAGGTTGAGAAAGCTGGTATAACTGACGATTTGAGAAATTTTAATATTTACACACGTCACACCACCCCCCCCCCCCCCACCCCCTTCCCAAGCTCGAAATCACGGAAGCCCTTATGATACAGATAAAGACACGGGCGTCCGAAGCTCACGTTATGAGTGTGGAATGTAAATTCACATTCTGACAAGAATCGGTGCCTCGGTACAGGCGACCGTCAAGACTTTGTTTGAGAAATAAAACACTTAGGTCTGCGAACGCTAAATATCTTTAATATTTAACCTTTTTTCTATTTCATAAGTAAAGGAGACTAACCTTTGATGTATTCCTGTGTTATTTGGCGTAATCGATGTAATCGTTTCTTTTGGCTGTTAATGTGTGACACCCATCATTGCCTTCATAAGAAGAAGTAAATTTTCTCTTAGCTCGTGGGCTTTCCCTCGGCTGACCGCAAGTAAAGTACGGCTTCTCTATAAGTTCCCACTTTGCCCAGATTTCCTTTGTTGCTCGACCCAGGGGTGTAGCTCCTCATTGGTCGGTTTCCTTCATTCTCTTGAAACGCATCTATAACTAGGCCAATATCAGGATCCTGACCTTGGGCTGAAGCCGCACTACTGCATTCTTTGGTGTGACCACAGATCCTTTACATTATTCTGTTGTTTACCTTAGTGCTGCCTGCTCGTGACTGTTGCTTCCTGTAGTGCTGTAAGGGGAACACGCGATGGGCATTCTCCATTATTCCGCCTATACAATGTAGGTTTTGCCCTCACTGCTGTCGTGTTTCCCAGGCCAGTGTTGGATCTCATCAACATATTCTTGGCGGCGTTCAAGCCAAGGAGTTAACAGTCCTTGGAGTTCTTTAAACCATCAAGACTAAGGAGGATTTGAAGCTTTTTCACATTCAGCGTTTGACCGCTTCGACTTTCTTATGATCAGTCTTCCGTCAGGCAACACTATATGTCTGAGAAAAGTAACTTTTCGTCTGCGGCAGTAACATTTTTAATAGGCTTCAGTTTCAAGCCTTCAGATCTTCTCCGTTAAAACATCAACCGTAGGCGGTGATGACGCTGATGATAACGACCAAATCGGCCGTAGAAAGTGGGTCCAGGAAAGGCCACTGAAAGCCAAATTCATTAATGGAATGACGCAAGAAGGTCCGTTTGTTAATCCGAAGAGCACTGCTCTCCACTGAAATTAACCTGGATGAAGTGAAAGGCAGTTTTAGACCTATCCTCCTTTTTCACTTCCATCTGCCAGTACCCGAATACAGGCTAGAAAACCAGGATAAATGTCTCAGATGGTGAAAACCTCTTTGATGAGTTCCCTGAAGTATTACGAGGGTACCTCCCGTGGTTCACCCATTGAAGAAAGGCTAGGGGCGGGGAAAGAAAGAAAGTGTTGGCTTTTTAGAGAAAGTTGCCTTTAAGTAGCCAGCCGATTGGGTAAGCCGCCTTGTTGAACGTGACAAACCCGCTGGGTCTATTCGCGCGAGCTTGGCCCCCAATAAACCTTGACGCCAGTTCAAGAAGACTAGTTGCTGCGACAAGCATGTAGCTAAGCGTAAAAAGTTAGTAAGGTTATTTGATTCTGAAGGAGATTCAGCCCCCTCCCGACTCCCGATAGCAAAATGATAAAACTTCTTGCATGTGATAACTTTTTCCCGCCACTACAGATTGACGACGGCTTTCACGTTTTCCTGCCAAAATGACGCTGGTTTACGCGCCAGCAATACTCAGTATTGAGAAAATCTCGTACTAGTAGTCGCCCTCGTCTCAGAATCTAAAGCTCTCCAATATCAAGCATGAACAAGAGAAAAGGTTATGAGTGTAAATATAATGATCACCAAAAACACACCTTTGATCTTCATCCCCTCACTATACTTTTAAGGGAAAATATGGAGATCGGTCTAGAGAATTTGTATGTGGATACTGGGGGGAAAAACACGGCAGCTACAGTGTAGCTAACAATCGACGTAGCCGCTTAAACACACCCCAGTTGTTCAAAAGCTGGATAGCGCTATCCATCGGACAAATCTCTTTCCAGTGGATAAGTATTGGGGAAACCAATTGCACTATCAACTGGATAGAGATATATCCGGTGGATAGCGCTATGCACTCTTTGAACAACTGGGGCCTGAATAAAAAAATTCTGCAAACAACACAACTGAATAGACTAAAAATATTTGCACACTAGACATTACCAGTCCACCCATTATTTACCGGTGTGCTTAAATTAGCATAGCAAAATTCAATAACTTTGTTTCACAGGTACTTGAATAATAGTAAGTTTCAGATTGCCAAGTAGTAAAACACAAAAAGCATGCCATTCAGTAAAAATTAATCTGAATTCGAAGTTAATACAGTATATACCGCAACAGTACTATTGTCCTTGCACATTGTAGCCTGCGTAGCATGCACTCAGTGGAAGTAGTGGGCGTAAGAAAGAACGGGCGCACGAGATGGAGACACGTGCCCGTTCTTTCTTGCATACACTACTTCCAATCGCCTGCTACGCAGGCTAATTGCCAATGTGAATTTGTGAGAAATATATGAAGTGCTTTGTACATGGCCTATGATTTGACTATCGACATTCCTTTCTGTACAAGATATTGAAATGGCCAATATCGCGTGCGAAAGCAAGAGAAAAATTATTACAGACTATAGAGTTAAGGTATCTGATGAGAAAGGCCACTATGACTTGGCGCAGTAATATCTACTACATTATGTTTTAATTAGTAATTTGAGTATGAATAGATAACAAAAAATAACAAATGCAACAGGTGGAAGCAAATTTTGCGTTCACAGTAAAATGTTTTAGACCAAAATGACCAGCCAGAATATTGGGATAAAGACTAATCCTTGCGTAATTTTCGTTTGTATTTCTGCAAAGAGACAAAAATTGATAGTTTTACAGGGGAGGATTTGGCTGTTAGTTTAAGAATGAAAGTGTGCATGACCAGTCAACATGACTGGCTACAGAAAAGTCACCACTTGGGCTAGACATCTTCCACTGATCAAACATTATTTTGAGCCCTGCGATACAAATAGCTTGAAAAATGAATGACAACTGGAAATAATCGACTTCTTTAAATAATTGGTCATCTCCACTCCCCACAAATTTCCATGCCCATCTTGGGAAAAATTTTTACTCATTCATTTACAATTTAGATTTAAATATAAAAAAACTTATGATATCTAAGGTTGCTTTCCACTTGCCAGGTCTGACAGCCAGAACATTACCATCGTAATGAGAATTTCACTTTTCATCAAAATCACCCAGTCAGAACAATCAAATCCTAAAAACTATGCACCAAGGAGATGGGTTTTCAACTAAAACTCTTGGAAAAAGCCTATTTCATTGTCAAAATGACTGGTCTGGCCATGGTCCGGCTGGCCAGTTCTGACTTTTGGAAAGCACTTCAAGACATTATGTGAACCCATGACCTCAATAACCTTGAATTTAATGGTTTCAAACATGGAACTTCTCATATGTCCAATCAAATGATTTGATTTGGGGAATGAAAAGTTTGACATTTGAACCAAATAGAAAACACATTTACAGCATGACGTCCTGCAAGTTATATTTGAAGTGTCCCACCACAATCATCTCCATTAATTACCCATTGTGAGTGAGTATTATCTATGGTTGTTATTGCAATCTATTGGAGGTTTTATACACTTTTTAAACATTTTTTCAAGGATTCTCAGAGAAACTGCCAGTAATTCAGTTTTCCTGCTGAGTTGCATGTACAGTATTTGGTGATCTCTTTCCCAACACCTGCCAAGCCACAAACACTAAAAGATTACAAGAAAAAGCTACTCATTTCATAATTCTATAATTTTACAAAATATTTACAGCACAACTTTCTGCACATTATATTTGAAATGCACCCCTCATCTCAATTAATTGCCCAGTAAGTAAGTAAGTGAGTAAGTAAGTAAGTAAGTAAGTAAGTAAGTCATGTTGAGTTGCAGCAGTAACCTTGACTTTCATTCTCTTCTGGCACTCCATAAGCACCATGAAGAGTAAAACTGCCAGGACCACTACGTTCAGACTCGAAAGAGAGATATTGTTCATGACTCTCGCATAATTTGGAAGCCATAGTTTCAAAAGCTTCTTCCACATTAGTGCAGTCCTTGGCACTTGTTTCTAACCAACACATGGAATTCAAATCTGCAAATTCCTGAAACAGTGAAACATAGTATTATTAAAACAATTTAGGAAATTAGCAACCAAGAACATGGTAATGGGAATAACCCCCTGGCAAATACAAATATCTGGGGTTTCAGAGGGTCCACAATAGATTTTTTCAAGCAAGCATCCTGCTGCTATTTTTCATTCTATCCAGCCATATGATTGCAATCCCGCTGCCTGGTTCTAGCCCCTCACACCATGTTTCAACCTTTACGTCATTCATAATCATTGTGGGGAAAGGAAAAGACTTACTTAAGGCATAGATCCTTAGTGTGTTCTAAACTAAAGACACAAAAACTCCACTTACAGTGTATGGAGGATTGAACTGAGTTATTCACTGTTTTTTGAACAATTTTTCTGGGGTTACTACATGTAGCTATTCATACATATGTATTCATAAAAAATATCGTTAATTTTATTCAGGCAGGAGGTAATGTCATGTCCACTCCAAAGGGATCACCACCTTACCATGGTAGAGCTAGTGTAAAATTCTGAAAATAAGCCCCTCCATGTATAAGCCCCTCCAAATATAAGCCCCCGAAACCGGTAATGCAGAAAATGCTCCATTAAATTGCCCCTCCAAATATAAGCCCCCTGGGGGCTTGTATTTGGAAAATTGCCCTCAAATATAAAGTAAAACAAAGCAAAAATGGTAGATTTATTCCCAGCTATAAGGCTAGCCCAATCGATTTTGAAATGCAAATTTCCCTCCGTAGATAAGCCCCTCCAAAAATAAGCCCGCAAAAAGGGCCTTTGAAAAATATAAGCCCCGGGGCTTATTTTCGGAATTTTACGGTATGTTGGCTGGAGTCAGGTCCAAGGATGACCAGACTAAGTGTGGTCCCCTGGTCCTCCAGGGGCGGGAGGGGGGTGGGCTGAGGACTGATACCCTATCCCACAAAACCCTGTTATTACAGAAACCAAAAGAAGACAAAATTCACTTTGTCAAGGGAACACTGTCGCCCGTCCTCACAGGAAGTGAAGACCACTGCAGCTAACCGGGATAAGTGGAGGGACGATCTGCGAAGGCCTTACAGGGTATGTACCACAAGGCCCAAAGAGGATAGGTGAGGTAATGTCATGTGCAATGTGCCCCAAAAAAGAGCAGAAACAAATAAATTAAATGAACATAATTCATTTGGTAAAAATCTCAAATGACCATGGACAAACCGGCTGGCCTACAAGCAAGACAAATGAGCTGAACATGCAGCTAACAAGAACATATTCAACATATTTAACCTGGGGCCTCCGCATTGCAAGTCCACTGCTCTAAACACTCAGCCATGCTACCTCCTCAAGAGTCAGAGGCAAAATCACACTTACTTTAATGTCATCTTCATTGACTTCTCTCTTATCTTTCAAGTCACATTTGTTAGCCACTAATACTTTAATTGTATCTGAACCACTAGAGAAGTAAAAAAGAAAACAAGGAATAAAAAATATTAAGCAAGTAAAAATTAAGTAAGACATTACTAACAGTTTAACATGCACATGAAGTGGGAGAGCAATCAATGGGTGAAAGCTAAGTCACAGTGTGACCCATAAACCAGAATATGAGCAAACCCTTCTGCATTTGATACTTCTTATATTAGTGATTAACAATGACCGAGGTAAATTAGGCACCATGTATGGCTGTCCAGAGGTTATCCTAGTTCTTGGAGGTGTGCCAATCTTTGATTATAATTGATCAATGATTAAAAACCTTAACTGATGCAATAATGTTGTCTTTTCAGTGTACTGATAATAATGTCACTATCATCCATAAATAACATAGCACCAAAATCAAACCTTGACATTATTTTCAGTTGACTTTCTTAGCTTACAGCAGAAAAATAAATGGAATTCTTTTAAAGAGATTTTTCTGATATTTGTAAAAGATGATTCATCAGTTGGCTTTAATGCAATTATTTCTCAGTGACAAAATAACAACTTCATGAAACATGGGACCCAACAAACATCAGAAATTTATTTCCTTTGAAAAACTAGTCATGATGGCCAGTTTTCAAGAAGACCAGTTACAACCCTTTTTAGTTGTCCTCAATTTTATTTAAATCTTTGGCCAGGTCCTACCTAAAGGTCCAACCTGATTAAACCCAACACCACTTCTTCACATTAAGTACTCATAAGGATTAATATTTAGAATAAGGTAGAATGTACCAAATCTCTTTCTTTATCATCGCAGTGGGGAAATTCCGGGAAAGTTTGCTAAAAGGCCTCACTTCTGTTACAAAGAACTGTCGAAAGCTAATTCTTCAAGTACAGCCTGGGAGAATTTTCAGAGCTTTGACTCTGTTTATCTGCCAAATTTCATAAGACCTCTGACCACACCTGCTTCCATTAGCTTAGCTACCTGCGGCTCAGTACAACTATAAAATGCATAACTGCCCACTCTGTTGCTTTTCCAAGGAGTCTCCAAGTTTTTCATCAAAAAAAGTTAGAGCACCAAATCTCCTGGGAAATACCTACTGTGGCCTTTTTCAAAATTTTGTTATTTTTGAGATGTCAAAAAGGAAAATGAAACAAGGAGTGGATTTAGCAATCTTATTTAAGCTGCTCTTGATCGGAAAACGTAAAACAGAGCAATCAAATTGATAATGTATATTTAACGAGTATTGCAATTGGTCAGAAATCAACCAATCAAAAGTTGGGACAGGTGTGGTTTTTCCACATTGTTATCGACGTTGGGAACATTAGGAGGGCCTTTGGGTGATTTTCGGAGAGTATTCAAACATGTCGAAAATGTCATTCTTACAATGCAAAGATTTCTAGATGTCTCCAGAGTTTTGTACTCTGGGGGTTGGCAGGTATGAAAATGTATCATTATACACCATGCATAAACAATACACTTGAAGATTGTTCAGTTCTTACCTTTTTCTATAAAATTCATCTATCCAAAGATTCTTTACACTTTGAAAGGACTTGAGAGATGTCAGAGAAAACACTACCAGTGCCCCATGAGCTCCTCTGTAATATGAACTGGTTAAACCACCTTGACGGAATCTCTCTTCACCCGCAGTGTCCCAAAGTTGAAGCTAGTCAACCAAACAAAACAAAAGGAATCAAAGAAGCCCACATTGTTTAGTGCTGTGGTTTAATTTCGTTGCTGTTTCAGTAGATTCTTTGCAATCAGGGATGGCAAGATTTTTTAGTAGTGGCCTATAGGTACACCAAATTGTTTGTGTTTTTTTTTTACCATGATAATTTTAATGAAAATTGCATTATATTGTCTTTTCGTGAGGCTTTTATCGGTAATAAGAAAGGAAACAGTAATCCCTGACCCAGTAACTCATGAGGGCCTGTTAGGGTAAAATTCCAACAAGCAACATGGCCATAAGATAGTGACATAAGACTGGGATAAATGGCCACAAATGATATAAATATGGGTTGAATACTGACAGGGACATGGCCTACTCCTCAAAATGTCAAACAATAATATTGTTTTATTCGAACTCAGACTAGGGACATAAAGGTTATATTGCAGAATACCCGGCCCACTAAATATCTAACTTAAAAAACTGCTCCTGCAGTGTCCAATTTGCATAATAAAATTCTGACATCAACTGTGGGGGTGCAGGACTGCTGGAGCACTAGTATACCTCGTTGCTACACTGGCTCCTTATACATTCACGTATTATTTTTAAGCTCCTGTTATTAGTCTATAAAGCACGCAATGGCAAAGCACCCTCTTACATTTCTAGTCTCCTGAGCCATTGTAAGTGCTCTCGGTCTTTACGTTCCAGTGGGCAAGAACTGCTCACTGTGCCACTGGCTAAACTAAAGACTTATGGAGATCAGGCATTCAACATTGCTGCGCCAAGGCAATGGAATAGCTTGCCTCTTAGCATTCGTAAATCTCCATCAATTGCTATTTTTAAAAGACATTTGAAGACTTATCTTTTTAAAGAAGCCTATGGCTTTTAACTTTTATTTTTAATACACGTTTTTTTTTTTATTCCTTTCATTATCTGTAATTTTATCTTAGTATTTTTAGATCTTAGATTTTAACTTTCATTTTTTGTATAATGTATATATATATTTTTTAAGCTTTCTAACTAATTTATCTCGGTATTTTATTATATTTTTTAGTGTTTAGATTCTACGTTAACCTGATTATTGTATAGTGCTATGAAAGAGGCTGAATAGCGCTACATAAATTATTATTTTTTATTATTATTATTATTATTATTATTATTATTATAAGCACACTAGTTACTTGACATTGACTTCAGGAGTGCAGGACTGCGGGAGCATTAGTGGGATAGCCACTCAATATTCGTCACTTTTCAGCTGGGACTTTAAGAGCACTCGACTTTTACTCACTAAGATTTGAGCATTCATCAACCACCAGACTGTGGGACTGTAAACCCAGCATAATTGAACTTGACAGTGGGGCTGCAGGAGCAGTTTTTTTTCAAGTACGATATTTACTAAGCCAGTTACTCTGCAATTGCTACGACATGTGCACTGCACCTAAGAGGGCCTCACTCACTGGTTTAAGGACTAGGACACACTGTTTCTGGACTGGGAAAATTCATGTTTTCCCATGAGAAGAGTACCAGGACCAGTGTTGTCAACTCTCTCTGATAATCTGGGAGACTCCAGATTTTGGACTGCATTTCCCAGTCTCCAGAACAGAGTATAAAATCTCCTGGATAATCACCGAATTTTGGCATTTCTTCAGTAGGCTTGACTTTCCGACAAATAAAATTTTAAATATTTTGCTCTGTCTGAGCTATTTTAATGTTAACAACGAACGTTTCCTGAACTCAGGTATTCCATTGTAATATAATAATAGCCTGCAGGTGCTTCATGAGCCAAGCAAGGCAAACATGGCATTTTGATTAAAGTGCAAGATGAGGGGAGGAGAAACAAATAAAGTGCCTGTTACCAGTCTATTGTTCTGGCTCTTCCCACATTCACTACATGAACTTTGAGCTTCAATTAGTTAACTGACGACATGTTGTTCTGGCAAGATTCTGGTATGTTTGTCTGCAGTCATGTTTTTTTGACAATGCTGTTAGAGAAAGTTCTTCATTTATTTCCAAATGTTCCAGGAATAAAGCAAATATTGCTAAAGAGGAACGATGTTCTTGGATTTCTTTCAACTAAGTTTGGAAAAAGCCTGATTTACTAACTTTTTGAAATTAAGTGTTGACAGGCCAAACACAACTCATAAGCTCATGACAATGTGAAACGTGATGTTGGAATTTTTTGAACAACAGGTTTTCCTCTGTTCTTTCTCACCATTGTGTTTGGACATAAACTAAACTTTAACTGAGCAAATTCGTCATTTTTGCATTCTTACATTATTGGTGATTTGTGCATGCCATTGTAGTTGTTATTTCCAGTGGTTTACGCTGCTGTCGGTGTTTCTGGTAGCCAGAATGGTGACAATAATGGAGTAATGGGTCGTGTTTTCATTGGTCCTTTTGACATCATCACCATCAGTCAATATTTGTGCGCGTAGGTGGGTGGAAGAGCCAGAACAATGGACTGGTTACAGGTGCTATAATATTTTCTTCTCCCTCATCTTGCACTATGCACAAAATGCCGCATTTGCCTCGGTTGGCTCATAAAACTCCTATTATGCAGGCTATATGATAATCTAATTGGTGGGAAGTAAACAAATTAAGTCATATGTTGCTAGAAATACATGAATCGCAGAGCCGTGCGAAGCAGAGGCTAAGGGCCAGAAGTAGAAAAAAAGGGAAAGAAGGAAATAGGAAAAAGAAAATATATCTAACATGAAGAAAAACACGCAAACAAAACAAAACAGCGAAAAAAAGAAAGAAAAAAAGAAAAGTTTTAAAAAAATAGGAATCGAACCCTGCAACTTCGGTTTGGTGTGACATCTGCTTACCACAACACTACTAAGGAGGAACACATAAGTGTAAGGAAGAGTATTAATTTTGATTTAAGACCTTTTCCATGAAACTTCCGCCGGCAAACATCGTTTAAAGCTGATCAAGCTGTCTTAAACTTATGGCAATGAAAGAACATACGACCAACAATGCAGATACAAATGGTCTGCGAAGTAGGACGCAAAACATGTTTTCTTACCTCGATTTCTGCTGTTTTTTTTTTATTGAAGCTAATGGTCCAAATCACATCCATTTGCTGTAAAAGGTACATCTACCTAACCCTTCGAAATTTATTGTTTAAAGCATTTCTTGACCTCCGCTAAAGCAACCGGGCCAGGTTTGTTGTGGTTTTGCTCACACGCTGCTTTGTTCCTAGGCAACTGCATTTGCCCAAACCGATAGCGAGACATATTTGTGACCAAAGCAAGATCACACTTTTGCTTGGCGATCCATGGTGTGTTGTGCATGCTGCACGCCTGACAAAATCATAAACTCGCTCCACGGGCCTTAATTTACTTTGCGAGAACAATGCCAACAACATCTCTTTGGCGTGTTTGTGTCATTGCAAGGTCATGACAATCGCAGTCAACGAGTATTTTGTTGCACAGATGACGTCATGAGCCGTGCGTTATGACGTCATCTATCATCTCTTCCCTATCAATTATTGCTGGAATATTTGAAGACGAGTGGGGTTGACAGCCCTGCAGGACTGACCACACCAATTCTCAACAAAATCACTTCGAGTGCTAAAAAATTATGCCCTCGAGCCTACAAACTATATTTTTAAGCTAAAGTATAATTTATGGATAAGTGATTAAGCAAAATCCTGGGTCTTCAGGCAGCTGAAACATGCCGAGTACGTAAAGCAAAAAAATACACCTGGAAACTAACCTTGACTTTCTTTCCATCAACTTCCATATCGTGGATGAAAAAGTCGACACCTATGGTTGTAGGAAGTCTTTGATCGAACACATTCGAATGAAATCTCTTAATAAGACTTGACTTTCCAACAGAGCTATCCCCCAAAACAAGAACTTTAAAAACATAGTCGTAATCCCCCGCCATCTTGCAGGGGAGGAATCAAAAGACGATCGGCCCAGTCTCCAAAGTTGGTAAACTTTTTTTAGTCCCAGTCTCTCGCAGTTTTCAAAAAACAAAGATGGCGGAAAACAGAGCAGCGTTCCCTGCTCGAATGTTTTGCTGAATGTATGTTTTTAAAATGGCTCAAATGTTGATTAAAAGAACATCTGGTTGTCCCAGAAAGTTAATATGTTCGCATCGATGTGGTTTTCGGTTTAAGCGAACTCGAAGCAAGAAAAAGGTAGGCTAAAAGATTGTAAACTCCTATGCCAGGACGTATCAGCTAGTGTGCATTCTAGACATATTTTAAAGTTCCTTTCCCACAGCAAAAGGTTTTACGTCACATAAATTGATAACTAGACGAAGGTCTTTGTTTTGGGGCTATATGTGCTCAAATTTCTACACTGAAACACATCGATCACTTTTAGATGTACTTGAAAATTAAGCAAAATAACAGTTCAGACGACTTCTTTCCTCAGTTTTTCCCCTTATGTTATTTTTCTTTGGCGTTCTCGCTTTCATTTCCTTTTAAAAATTAGCCCATGTGGCCAATTTTGTGCCTAAAGCTTACTCTACATGATTCGCAGTCATGGGAGATCTGGGTACAGTTAACTCTTGAAGGATCTCTTGTAAATGTCTGTCTGCCCATATAAAGAACAGAAAAACAATCAGAAAAAAATGAACAATATTGCAAAGGGCTAATACCTGCTATACTAGCACATCTGACTAGTTGCTACACAACTACTCACCCAAGGGGGGTACTCTGGATTTTAGGTGACGGGGATGATCCATGGATTTTTGCAGGGTAGGAAAATTTCTCAAGTACATTTTTGGGTTGCTTGATTTAAGTAGGGTTACTTTAGGGAAATTTTGGCAAGTACAGTCTAACCTGTCCTTACTAACATCTCTAATATGGACACCTCTCTATTACGGACAGTTCGTTTGGTCCCAGAAATGCCAAAAATCATGCATTCCCTACCTCTATAATATGGACACCTCTGTAATGATAACTGGCTCTGTCCCTTTGGTATGCGTATTAAAGAGGTTTGAATGTATTTTGTTTGGGTGGCTTGATTTAACTAAGGATTTGGGGGGGGGCATTCAAAGCAATCTGAAGATTTGTGTAAGTGACTGCGAAGTTTTGTGAATAAGTTACAACCAAACTTGTTTTGTGGCTTTTTTAGGGCTCAGAAATTCAGCATGGGATTTTTGGGGGGGTTACCTTTTGGACCAGAGATTTTTTTGGGTTTTCATTTTTGCCCCCATTTGATCATACCAGTCACTTAAAATCCACAGTACCCCTTCTGGGCGCTCACTCACTTCACAAAGTATTTATGAAATTGTAGCTAATGGAGCTAGGACAGATCCTTTGGCCATTCAGGGCTGTACAAAAGGTTGTTTGTTTTTCAGTCTAGCATGAAACATTTTTTCTATCTGTTTCAGAGTAATCCAAGTCAGGATGTTCAAGATATAGATATTACTGAAAGTGAAATTTATTGTCCTTTTATAAATCACACAAAGACTGTAAATCACGATGTCCTTTCTTCTCTCTCAATCTCTCCACTTTCAATCCATCTTGGCAGCAAAAATGTGAAGGATGGTGGCAGAATATATCTTGACAAATTTTGCAGTGTAACATCAATTCTCAGTCAAACCAAGCCTCCAAGTGAATTTTTCGCTTTGAAGAACTGGGCAAAAAGTCAAGTGTCTGAGTTGGGCAAAGAAAAGTTTAAGGAAAAGAAGAAAAGTATTTCCAGAAGAGGAACTTTATTTCATCATGTAAGTACTGCACAATATTTGGCTGGAGAAAACAGCCAATATTTTGCGATGCTACCATCGGTCTCCCGGCGAAATGAGGTCTGAGAAATTAGCACAGAAATTCCATTCTGATGATACATCACTACCCAGACCTGGGTAGTGTGTCTGATTGGTTGAAGCAAATTTTCAGCCAGTCAGAAGCACCACCCAGATCTGGGTGGTGATACATCATGGTATGGAATTTCTGTATTCTTTGCCCAGATGCCATTTCACCTGTCAGAGAAACCGGTGGTAGTGTGCCAAAATGCCAGTTCTTTTCTCAGGCTACACAATATTTTATTTGCCCAATTTATCTCAAACTACTATACACTAATCACTTTAGGATACATTCCCCTTGGTTTTTCTTGGTACAGTAAAAACCCACAATTTTTTTAGGTCAGGGTGAACAGGTTCTTATTTTTTAGGGTAGTTTTTGACAATTCAGGCTGATTAGGCTCTTAGGTAAAATTTTGAATTGTCTGTATTGCAGGGTAGCTTTATGGAAAACATACTTTCAGTGAAAATCCAAACAAATGTAAATTAAAGAAAACATATATACACGATAACCTTTTGTCAAAAGCTTCTCACAAAATTAAAATCGAGAATCTTGACAATCAAAATTGGAGTGATTTTTATGTATAAGAACCTAGTTTTCTTTGCCAGGCTGAACAGGTTCTTATATTTTTGGGTATTTAAATGCAAAATTTTAGCCTGTAGGTTCTTAAATCACTAGCTTCTTTATATGTGGGTTTTTACTGTATTATCTATGGTTTATATCATTGTTAACACATTCAGAGCCCCAGTTTGGGATTGAAAAGTAAGTACAATGAGTTGTTTTCTTTTTGGTGTTTAACACTTATCATACTTTGTTCTTGGAAATAAATGTCCTTAATATACCTACTCAATAATATTTTCACAGCTTTGCTTTCACATTTTGAAATTGCAGCTGTAGTACTTATGGTTTTGGGGTTATTAAAAATATAGACTAACTGTATTTGCATGGTTAGACTGTCAGGGCTTCTGATATTTTGCGCAATTGTGGAGCTGCGAAATTCAGGTAGTCTGCGAAATCCCACAAAATTTACAAAAACACGCAAAATACCATGAAATGCGCTAGAAATCTTATCAAATACACGTCTGTACAACATATTTGAAACTTATCTCAGCTATTTGGGCTGTTTACGTGCTGTAAACGATCATGAAACTTCGTCACTGAAATGAGCAAACAATGTTCCAAAACTACCAGGCATAGATTATGTTGCAAAAAGCTTGGCACTAGCCATGAAGTTAAAAGCTTTGCAAATGGCTCATTTCTGGACCATAATTATTGTTGTTGAAATAGCAAATGATGATCTCTGTTAAGAAAACATTGAAAATGCTGGTCTGATCAGTGCAAAACCGAAAAATTTGCGAAATTTGCCCGAAAATTCCCACAAAATTGGTCGTTTTTTACTGATTGTTTTTTGGCGAAGTTTGCCACAAAAATTCCCATGAAATCAGTCAATTTTTCCTCGAATTTGTCCCTGAGAATCCCTCAAAACTTGGCTTTTTTGGTGACCTATCAGAAGCCCTGATTAGAATGTAAAGAAACTTTGGTTTTATTGATACGGCACATAACATAAAATTTGAAATTTCCTAAACTTGACTTACCAAAATATAGAAATTACACAGACCTACCCAAGGGCTAAGGCAAGTGGCAAGAATCAGAATGGGATTTGTAGGCCCCATGTGGGGTGCTACCCCCACCCAATCCACAAAAATTATTACATATTGATAGCAACGTAGCCTGCAAAGCAGGCATATTTTGCAGGGTTTGTCACCAAGATTTCAAGTTGCCTGGTAAATACAACAAGAAGGCGGGGAATCAAACACCTAGGGATTTCTTTTGGGTCTATTTTCTTCTATTTCCCAATGAAAGTAGCCAGGGGCCACATTCATAGTAGCTGGGGAAAATCCCCGGCCCTCGGCTCCTAATGACAGCCCTGTTTTGCATTGCGAGTGATGATGCATCTTGGACGTTGAAACTAACAGAAAGTTGGGGCGAGTCAAAGTCTGATTTCAAGGAAGAGGTTGACGGGTTTAAAATAGAGGAGGGGGTGGGACAGGGGAGCCTCTCTTTTGTATTTAAGATGGTGGCCACAATATTACAACCTCTGAGTTTCTGTCAAAAAAATGCCTGCTCTTGCAGGCTAATAGTGAGGTTAAATCACCATGAGAAAATGTTGATTGTCATTTCCTCTAATAACTGATGCTCTAATGTGGACATTGTTTATTGGCAGGATGTCCAGCAATTCTTCAAACACAAGGAAACACCAATCATAGTGGAAGGGGAGGCTAATGCAGGATATTGGAAGAGTATTAGTCATGTTCTACCAGACATCTCAAATGTTGTTGCCATTGAGAGTGGCGTAGTACATCCATTGTTAGGATATGCAGGAACACTGGACCTTATTGCAGAATATAAGGGTACACTCAGTGTAATAGACTGGAAGACTTCTGTGAAGCACAAAACAAACCTCAAAGACTGCTACTCTTATCCTCAACAAGTGGCAGCTTATGCTGGTGCAGTGAATTATGACAGTAATTACCCCTTTCAGGTACTTTTTCCAACTTGATGCTAAATACCGTTATTTTCTTCAAGGTGAACCCCTTCATATCTGGAACCAATAGGCCACTTGCACTAAAAGGTCACATGACCAATGCTTCCTTTAAACAAGGAGTTGGAATTTTCATGCTGCTAAAAATTGACAGAGCACATAAGAATTATCTTACACCTGAAATTTGAGAGGAAACACATTTAAGGGAGATATTTTATGACGCTTTGATTTTTCAACGAAGTAGTATGATTTGTATTGGCCGCCATGTTGGAGGGCATACTCTTGCCCTCCAACATGGCGGCCAAAACTACTTTTTGCTTATATCTTGTTAAACGTTTGATAGTTATGCTGAGATGTTCTGTAAACATTACCACATCATCTTTCAACATTTTCCTTGAAGTTTAAGTGCAAAATTTGTGTTCAGAAAGAGGTAATTCTTAATTTTGAAAATCACATTTTGGTCACAGGACCAGCAATGACCTTACTCATTTTAAGAAAATGGTGCAGGTTTGAAAACCAAATCACTTTTATTTTGTTCAAGATATGACCTACTAATTGTTTTTCGAAGCAAAATCTTTCATTGCAAATGGCCTATTGATCACTTTAGAAATAAGAACGGGACTGGTGCAGAAATGTGTCTTGCCATTGTTTCTTTGACCATTACTGGGGATGCCCTGGTTAGCCATTGGCCAATTTTTTCCTTGTCCCTACTACAGCCCCAGAAGTCTTTGTGAAAGTTAACTGGGGTCCAGTTTCCTTCTAATTTATCAAGTGTCAAATATTACTTTGGGTTCCAATCCCACTCTGACTCAGGGTTTATTCCAGCAATTCAACAAGGAAACAGGGTTTGTATGGGTCATGGAAAACCTGAAAAATCATGGAATTTAAGAATTTCATTTCCAGGCCTGTTGGCCCTTGAAAGTCATGGAAAATTAAAATTTTGTTTGGTACTTAAGTTACTGCAGATGATAATGCAAGGACAATGTAAGATAGAGAGAAGTGATTGAATAGTGCTAATGGCACACTTTTAGGGACTGTGCAATAACTATCAGGAGGGGGGGCTGAAAAACTAGAGTTATCTAGCAAAAACGTAGACAGTACTCCCCCTCCAAAACAAAAAAAAATTAGTTGTAACCCCCCTCTGTTATGTTAAAAATAACGTCGCACCCCCCTCCCACCACCCACCCACCCCCACACACACACCCACCCCTCACCGCCACCATTACCATAGATGCCTTTAAGTAAATACCTTTTATATTGTCATGCTACTGTAAGCATACGCTTACTTGTTGGATGTCGTCATCTGGAACAAATAGTACCTCAAATGAATGTTCAACAAAGCCATCCATTTCGGAGTCATCTGAATCCAAATCAGAGTTGTTTTCGGAAGTACTTGTGTGACAAAGCATTTGCTAAGTACCAGGGTGCTTACCACATTGGCTCAAAATCTAAAACTTCTGAAGCCAGAAAGGGAAAGGAGCAGAGAAAAAAATCAAAGAACAGGAAGTTGAACGCTTCAAGTAACAGACGAAAAAAATCTTGCATTATATTTAGATCCTTGGGAGTTGTGAATTTGCTTTTCATTTTGATGGAATATTTTCAATAGTTGTTTAACAGCTGTTCGTATTGATATTTGTTACAGTCTATCATGATGCCTGTATTGAGAATCTTTTATTGCGTTTAATTTTATTTACATTTCGAATAAAACTTAAGGCCCCCCCTCCGTCAAATGAGTGATTTTACTTTGAGCCCCCCTATCTTGGCAGCAATTTTATGTAATGCCCCCCCCCTCTCTAGTTTTTCAGCCCCCCTCCTGATAATTATTGCACAGTCCCTTAGGTGGACACCAGAGTTGGTGTCTGTTGAACTGCTTAAGGTCAAAAACACCCTAAAACACAAAAGCTTTAAAAATTTGTAAAAAGTTGAGAGCTAATGTGGAAAAAGTCATGGAAAGTCCTGGAATTTGAAGAGCTTAAAACAGTACGAACCCTGTGAAAGGCACATGGGCCCCCTCGTGAAACTGTAGAATGCCGTCTCTAAAGAAAAACCATTACAGTAGCCTGCATAGCAGGCGTCCTCCCTCCCTTTCCCCTCTTTGTGCCTGCCACATAGGCTACCATTACAGTGGAACCTCGATATAACAAGGGCCAAGGGACTGGCAAAATTAGTTTGCTATAATAACAAGGTTTCATTATAACGAGGTTCTTTTTGATATATTTTACTATTACAGGGCTGAAGAAAAGCATTTGTTATGTAGAGGTTCGTTATATTGAGTTTCCACTGTAATTTACCACCGATAGACAAATAATATAGCACATCCTCAGTATTTTATGACACAAAGGCTTCTAGGGCTGAACAAATATCTGACACAAATAACTGAAGTAAATATTGCAAGGCTGAGAATCCCAACTGGCAGGAGGAAACCCAATTGGCTATTTAGAAGCAAAGTCAGGGGATTAAACTCTAGAGGAGCTACCAAAAACAATCCCCGAGCTTGAGGTCAACGTAGGATATGAACTAAAAAAAGTCCCTCTCGCATTTTGTGAGTGAAAAAAAAAAGAGTTATGCTCACAAATTTAATAATTAAAGGAGACTTATCTGTAAGGTGAACTTTGGTTGAAATTCTATGAGTCCTTGGCCTGGAAGTAGAAATATACTAGACTGCTAGCCTGCAGTGCAGGCGTTTTCTTCAGGCGCGCGAATGTTTTGCTTGCGAAAGCGCATGTTGAAACTTTCCCGCCCCCTCCCCCTCCCCTCTTTCCTTCTTTCGCCCTAGCATCTATCCTTAGGGTTACTATTTTTACTCTCCCTAATCTTCCTCCATCATAACAAAGAAGGCGGTTACAACAGTACCAACATAAACAAGCAGCTTTCGCACGCCCATAATACGCCTGCACTGCAGGCTATACTAGAGCATGAAGTAATTCTTTAAGAGAATAAAAGCTTTTGTGAATTGTTTACTTTGTAAATACTGGATGTATTTATCTCCTGTGTTGAATTTTAACAGGTGTGTGAAGGAGTGATAGTTATTGCGTACGAAAATGGTGACCCAGTTCATGTTCATCATCTGACACAGGAAATCTGTGAAGCTTACTGGTTAGAATGGTTGATGCGGCTTCAACAATACAAAAACAAATTTCCTGAACATTTTATCCATGAAGCTGTTTCAAAAGTAAATGAAGCAGAGCAGGAATTAAGACATGTTCCAACCGTAGGATCCGTAGCTACCTCTCTGGGTGCAAAATCTTTAAAGAGCATTGGGGTGCCTGTGGAAAGCCTTGGTACGGTTGTGAAAGATGAGGATGTGATCGAAGAAGAAAAAGAACTTTCTTCCAAAGAGACGTTTGATGATAGTTTGAGTTCACGAATAGTAGATACCTGGAAACAGATCTGGAAGAATGTTTTTGACCGCATACGTTCCAGGAGAAAAGATTCATGATCTTTGTTAAACATTGTTGGGTAACGGTACTGGTATTATTTACCAACATTTTTGCTTTGTAAGAAATAAGCTTTCACAGGCTAGAAAACTGAAAAATATTTATAGAAAAGAAAACCCGGAACACTTTTGATGTCACCTTGTGCTTGACTGGCTAGCTGAATGGTCAGTAACCTTTGATGTCTGTTTTAACTACAATATTATTTTGTTTTTTATTCCATAAAAATTCAGTTGTTGTTTCTGACCCTATTAGGGAGAGTCAGGCTGTGTTTACTCTATACCGGATGGCTCGTGCACCATGTACCGACACGAAAACCGCACCAGATGTAGTCTGCTACACAGCCGTTTTTAGTGTCGTCACGCAACGCTCCTCCTCACTTGTTGTCTTGTTTTCTTGTGGGGAGGAGCATTGCGTGACGACACTAAAAACGGCTGTGTAGCAGACTACACCACATGGGGCTTCTGTTCACACGTAAGAATTACGGTGATTTCTGGGCGATCTCTGTAACGGCGCGAAATTGCTCCGCGCCAATCTCGAAAGTGGAGCTTCATATATCAGATGGGTTCTGTGCCACACTTTGGTGCAGTGTGAACAGGTATTCGGACCGTAGCGGAAGTGAATTAGAAGGAGCGAGGGCTGGAATCCACTGAGACGGAAGTAAATAATCAGGAGTGAGGACTGGGATTTAGTTCACCAAACCGTTTTGGCCAATCGCTCCGACGCGATGTTGGATGTGTGTGAACAACTTGTTCCAGTTCTTTACTGTTGCTGTTCAGACTATACGGGATAGCCCACGAAAAGTTATCCAGTAGTGTGAACAGCAACTTTTGTATTAGAGGGGTAGGGCGGCCAACACTTCTCGTAAGCGACACGAGCCGTTAATAGTGACCAGCATCTATGCAAATTTATTGGAACAAAAGAAAGCGTTAACACAAGAAAGACTCCCACAGGATTTGTTTGGAACACCAACAAGGCCGCCGTGAGACTGAGACTGAGCATGACTGAGTTCTCTTCTGAAGTTCGATTTAAACAAAAGTATAACACTTGATCTCGTCCAGGCGTAGCTTCAACAGTTTAATTCTTTACGCTGGCTACGTTTTTCATCTCGTTTCTTTTGTTTTGTTATGTATGTTATTCTATATTTATTCAGTTTGCACTTGACAAAATCAGGAATGCGTTAATTGTTCGAGTAACAGTGACCCTTCTGGGAATAACAGCTACTGTTGTTGTCTTTTTTCCACTACACGTATGCAAATTTCAATGGATTTCAACAACTTAAAGTTTAAAACTCTTTCGCTGAACGTTCGGGGTATCCGTTCTTTTGAAAAACGTAAGTCCATTTTCAACTGGCTATACAAGCAAAATTCAGACATCTGCTTTCTGCAGGAAACTTACAGCACTGAAGAGATTGAAAATCAATGGAAAAAGCAGTGGTCCGGGGACATTTACTTTGCT